CATGGGCCACTTCTGATTGGGTAACAATGGCTGCTACATGTGGAGCACAGCACTTCTGATTGGTGTGGATGACTATGAAAATGTAATAAAAAAAATGTAAAAACAAAAAGGTTTTAAAAGATTTTCAGGCTTTGCGATTTGATAATCGAATCATTTAAATCGCGATTAATCTATTCAAAGTCGATTAATTGTGTGTGTGTGTGTGTGTGTGTGTGTGTGTGCAGTCTGATCATGCAGCTCTCAGGGTGTGTCAGATATCTGCACCTGTGTGTTTCACTGATGGAGGGAGGTCTATCTCAATGTGACCTGTGTGTGTAGATCAATACTCTGTGTTTACATGTGATACACCTTCCTGTGAATAGGTCATAGGTTTGTAAACTCACATAAATATTGGGTTTATACATCTGTGAACATGACTAAGTATTTTACAGATAAACTAAAGGCATCTTTTATCATTTACAACTTTTGATGAGCCATTTTTGACGTATGTGTGTGTAGCTTCAGACGTGAGGAAACAAAGTGACTCGACCACATGTTTCCTGTGTGAGTCTGAGCTCTGCTGGGTTCATTTATTCTGTTGTTGGTGCTTTGTTGATCTGTTGTCAGGGCTTTGTTGATCTGTTGTCAGTGCTTTGTTGATCTGTTGTCAGTGCTTTGTTGATCTGTTGTTGGTGATATGTAAATCCCAGTTTCCCAACTCTTATTTCCTCTGACCCTGATGCATCCTGGGAGTTCAGCCCAGGGCAGAATATATGTCCACTTCCTGTGATGCCCCTCTTGGTCTCATCACTGAACACACTCAGCTTTCTGGTGGTGGTGGTGTGTGTGTGTGTGTGTGTGTGTGTGTGTGTGTGTGTGTGTGTGTGTGTGTGTGTGTGTGTGTGTGTGTGTGTGTGTGTGTGTGTGTGTGTGTGTGTGTGTGTTATGTGAAGGATAAGCCTGTCATAGAGCTGCATCAAGTGCAAGCAGGACAAATGAAACCAGGCCGTGCTAACGTTAGCAAAGTACTATAACCAACAGTGTCATGAGTTAATGTAACAAATACAGGTTACTATCTACACAATAGTGTTTCCATGTGAAAGCTCTGACATGGTCACACACTTTATGAAGCTCACACTCTGACCATGGAGTCATCAGATAGACTCGCTGACAGACACCCTGATGATCAGCCGTGATGATCTTCGGCTGCCCTACATTCACACTGGAGTTCCTTAGATAAGCGGCTCCACTGATGGAGCCCGAGAGGGACAGTCAGAGCGTCCTCAGGACACTGAGACATTGTTCTCTGAGCCACAGCCAGCGAGGGACAATCAGATGACACACATGCTGCCAACTGAGCCAGCTAGTTTATGATATATAGCGTGATGCACACAGGTAGGCTCCTGACAATCAACGCACTTACAAATGACTTTAGTTAACCAGGCTAAGGCAAATGACATTTTATTATCAGGCTTATTAGAAATACTTAAGAGTAATGCTTCATAGCCCAAATGCTGAGAGTATAGGCACGTTCACACCAAGTACTTTTCCCACAAAGGTTCCTGAGAACTCTTTAGTTCTCATGAACTAAGTACAGATCGCGTTCACACCGTAAATTAGTTCCTGGGGGAGGATTAGGCAAATGAAGCCGCTGACTTCACTTCTTCTTCTTCTGCTTTGGGTTTACTGGCAGGCCGCAAACAACTTCACGGCGTATACTGCCGCCCAAAATCCCCGGCCGGAAGTCCCCGGAGTTAGGGACTGGCTTCAGTAGAAGCTGCTGGGACTTCCGAGTTAATCACCATAACGCCGACACCTCCTCATCTCCACCGCTCCCATGTTTTATTTTGTGTTGCCATAAGTTAGTCTCTCTGCATTTCTGCGCTGGGCTAATGCTAATGCTAATAATGCAATGCGAGGATAATAAAATGGCTTCTTCACAAACGTTTTTGGGAGTTTGACGGGGCGTGGTTTGCATTCCGCCCAGCCAATCAGACACAGGAACCTTTTTCTCCCACGAAAGTCCCTGCTCTCTAGCAGGGACTGAAAAGTTGGTAAAAAAGGTTCTCTAAAACTAATTAAGTTCCTGGGACTTTTTGGTGTGAACGCAACTAAATCGTAGTTCTCAGGAACCTTTGTGGGAAAAGTACTTGGTGTGAACGCGCCTTATGTCATTGGGTTGGCTGAACATGGTACAGGTATGAAATGTCTTCATATGAGGGTGCATCATGTTTAAACGATCAGACGATCCGAGAGAAGAAGAACGGACTGCGTGATATAAACAAACAACAAATAGCGTGTGCGTTCCATTCTCACTCTACAACGAGAAGCTCATGGGGCTTTCCCGAACCTGCGTCGAGAGCTGAAGTTAAATTAAATCTCAGATTTGCCTTCTTTGTTTGGTTCCCTCACTTCCGTTTCGCTTCTCATGCACTGATTCGCTAGCTGAACAGCCAACCAGAGTGATTTCTTTTGCCGACTGCCTTTGTCCCACTGCCCGCTGATTCAACGTGTTGGCCCGGCTGAAAAGACACGAGGGTGAGGGACACACCAATCTGAGTAGGGCGTGTCGACGAGTGTTTCCGCCAGACCAGGGCTGAAAGGGCGTCCACCCCGAGAGCGGGGGGGGGCCGTCCCTTATAGATACTGTCTTTTTACGTTAGTGAGCGGGATCATTTGGCTCGGCTCTCTTAAAGCGCCGGCTGTTTCGGCTCCCAAACGGCTCTTCATGTTACCACAGTTTACCACGGAGCCTCAGTTTCGGCGCTGCGAGGCTCTGGTGCTCCACTAAAACCCCTCATCGCGTCTCAATCGCGCACGTTCCGTGTTGTCCTGTAGCAGGCACCGCCGATGTCAGGGAAACGATCTTCAATACTTCGAAAATAATCCCACCAGACTCCTTTGCCCGTCCAACACAGAGGGATGTCCTTGCCCTTGTCCCTGTCGTTATTTCAAGCGATAAAAACTCTCGATCTTCTCTCAAATTATTAATATTTTTGGATTATTTTATTTCAAATGAAGGCAAGACGCCCCCCCCCTGGCGGAAACGCTGGTGTCGGCGCTCGTCGGCGGCCTGACGCCGATAATCGGCCTGGTGTGTCCGTGCCTTAAAGGAGGCCTAATGGAATTCCAACGTCTCAAAAAAACAATCATGTTTAATATACATATAACTTTACAAAAAGCCCATTCACAACGAAATACCACTTGCTAATTCTATTTAATTCATACAGTATACAGATATATAACCCCTGTCACTACTAGTTGCTTCACTCTAACATTTGTAGTTGTTGTTGTGCTATCTTTGCTGTCAGTGTGTACATCTCTATTCAAAACGGCCACTATTGTTGGCGGTGCTTCAGGTTGTTTCTAGAGCTTTATTCTGTAGGTTACACTGAAACAGGATCTCAGTCTCATCAGGCTTTATAGAGCTGGTACCATTTATTTAAAAACTGAATTGACTGGTTCCAGGTCAGATCTTGCAGATTAGCTTGTGACAACCCTGGTCAACACCCCAGCTGATTACACACTGGATATATTACAACATGATGCTGATGGCTGTCCGTGATAAACCTTCGACTCTGACATATTACTCAGTGCAAACCAAAGGAATAATATACAGGCTGTCAGCGTGTGGGCTGAGACAAGACAGCACAACTGGTTTTACACATGTCTATCAATATTATAAGTAGAACAACAGTCT